GACCAGTATGATCTTGTGCTAGGAATTTTGATTACTGACATGTAGAATATTATACCAAATAACTTATACAAATCATAATCTGTTTCTCTTCAAAAAACACACAAAAAATATTTACAAAAAAATCTTTGCCATACATTACAAATGGAACTACTGCATAGATATGCAAAATTTCCATCACATAGTTTTGAGAGACTTCATTCATAGTGTTTTGATATAAATTGTACATAAACAACAAAAACGTGAAAACAAACTCTTTTCTCACTCATTTTCACTTTTACTGTATTTTATATCTTCGTTATAACAAACTAAGAACTTGCTCCTTTTTTCAGTAACAACAAACAGGGAAATGACAAGTTCTAGTCCTGGTAATTAACAGTGACGTTTGCTATTTCTTTTAAAAAATGCATTTTGTTGTACGCAATAGTCGCTTAAAATGTTGCCAGCAACAAATTTACATATCAGTTCAAGGGTTTCTAGTACTTTTTTTTGTTGACAAAATAGTATGATTGAAATTTCCATCGCCATGCAAAGAAGGTTAAACAGTAACTATTATACTTATTGAATTTGGCAGATAATCGATTGCGGTAAAAATAATGACGATCGTCAAGTTCGTCTAACACCAGAAGAAGCGACAAAAGTATTAAGCGTGCAACTGGAGCAGATCCTGCAATCGTCTTCTTCCGGCCGCAATAAGGAAGCAGCTACGTTAAAACAAGTTTCGGCTGAATTTACGCGCCGATACGGATATGCATTAAATGCAGAAGTTTATAAATGCCAAGATATCGAGCAAGTTTTAATGAAGCTGCAGAATATAAAGGCAGCATTTATGATCGTTAAGTTTATTATGTAGCCGAAATAATCGCCCGAATTGTAATCATAATTGTTTGTTTCGATAACATGAAATAATATGCATTTTCATCGAGATCTTCGTATTTTTCCTCATGAACACTTTTTCGAGAAAAACTACTATACTCGTGTCGATTCCCACCAGTACCCACTAAATTTTGCAAAATCAGATGTTAACACGCAAACAGGAAAATATTTAGTTATCTTTCTGTACATAATATTTATGGTTTACAAATAAAATAGCGCCACAAATCTACAAAATTTTTACAATTAAATAATTTGTTTGATAACCCTTTGGTCATCGATGATCAGAGACTACATTTTTTTTAAGTATCTAAACACTAAGCCTGACTCCAAGTCTGGCTTCTGACTTGACTCCTGTCTTCTGACTGGCTAACTAAATCTCAGCTTCTTCTTATATACTAAATAATTGTACACAAAACGTGATTCCAAAATCTAACAGCAAAGACGGAAGAACTTCGGATAATCTTCATCAAATAGCACGTAGTGCTTTAACAAAAACAATAAATTTTTAGTTTTTTCTTAATGGTTTTTTTATTAGCTTTTAGAAATGGTCGCTTCCTGCTATCTCTTTTGTCTGAAAGAGTAAAATTTCTTATTTTGTATTTCAAATCATTTTGAGTACTTACAATTAGCATAAAAACTAGTGTCGTTTGCCTGACATATTCTCAAACTCTGTGACTGAAGCTTCCAAAATTTAGACGTCGTTTGATCACCTAAGTTTTTTATTTGCACGAAATATAAACAATTTTTAGATTTGAGAAAAAAAACATTAAACTTTTAACCACTTCGGTATGAGCGACAACTATACTTGACGCCCGCAAATGCGTCACGTTTAGTGCACGAGCGTAACGCTCAGCGTTTGCGGGCAATAGGCGCCGTACCGAAGTGGTTAAATCTAAAATATCATTTTATAAATCACTAAACATTACGTACTAATCACTAAACAATTACGTACAAATCTCCTGGAGAAAGTTTGTTTCCGCTAAAAAAAAATCTGATTCGCTAAATTTTTCTTGACGATATTCAAGTGATACTAAGTCGCTTGCCATCAAAATTGAAAAACTTGTGTGTATGTGTAATATGTAAGTCAAAAATTGACATTTTGTCCATTCCATCTACGTTTTGCCAAAGTGTTGAACAGACTCCAAACATTTTAGCTACTTGATCAACTCCATGAGGATTCCCATTTAATAATTAACTTCCCGTATGGTAAGTTATAGTAATTGCAAAAAAATCGAAAATTAAAATTTTTATATATCTTTACGTTTCAGAGGTTTCTGAATATTTTGGTATACCTTAGAAAAAATGGATGTATGTGTACATGTGTGCGTGTGTGTGTGTTCGGATACAAATTTTCGTCGACGATTTCGGGAGCACGGATGAAGCGATTTGAATACAAAAAACATTCGATTCGTATTGATAAGAAGACGTGCTGATTAGTTTTCAAAGGCAGGTCTAGCTGTTCCGAAGATACGGGGCAAAAGTGCCAAAAACGGTAACACGGTTTTTAAGAGAATGGAGTATCCGATTTTAAAAATTCAAAGAACCATTTTACTTCTATTGACAAGATGAAGAATTGATCAAATTTTCATGAAGACAGGTCTAGCGGTTTCGGAGATCTAATGAAAAAAATAAAACAAAAAGCCATTTGGCGGTCAAAATGATCATTAGACACATGCACATCAAATTATCAGATATTTTATAGAGATTTTACAATAAGTATGAATTTGTTACATTCCTATGTTCCGTACCATGTTTATTTTTTACGTTCCTATGTTTATCCATTTGTTATGGCGTTCGCGAGCGACGCTGCGCGTTACGCGATTTACATGTCTCTATGCAATTAAGCAGTACAATCATTCAAATCGGACGCTCCGTTTTTTTAAAAACTGAGTTGCCGTTTTTGGCACTTCTTGCCCCGTAATTTCGGAACGGCTAGACCTGCCTTTGCCAAAAACTAATCAGCACGTCCCCTTATCAATACGAATCGAATGCTTTTTGAATTATTCAAATCGGTTGATACATGATCCCGAAATCGTCGACGAAAATTTGTATCCGAACATACATGCATACACGCACACACATACACACACACACACACACACACACACACACACAAACACACATACATCCATTTTTTCTAAGGTATGCCAAAATGTTCAGAAGGTTTTGAAGCGTAAAGATATATAAAAAAATTCATTTTCAATTTTTTGCGATTACTATAATTTACCCTACGGGAAGTTAATAATTTTTGGTACGGGAAGTTCCTGCAATTTGCCTTAAGGCACGATGCCATGCGCCCCACTAGTTTTGTGATAAAATCGGCCCAACCAATTTTCATAATTGGTAGACAAGTCCTAATAATTTATCCACATTATCAAAAATTGATTTTCGAAATTTGATTTGATTTCGAATTCTGATTAATTTTTGAAGATCGGCTAGGCCTTTTCTTCGAGTCATAAAATAATATAAAATATCCTTAAATTTTCGTAGACTCCTATTTATTATGTTGATTATTCACATAAATCGGAAAATTTTTTTTCCCTTTTTTAAGGAAAAATGCCGCTTACACCTAGTATTTTATTTTTAAATCGAAATATCAATACACTTTTATTTGCATGACGTGCTAATTTTGCGTTTATTACAGATTTCTAAAACGCCGGATAATGGAATTATTCTGGAATTGCAAAATTGTGTTCAAGAATCTAATATGTCCAATAAGATAATTACTGGATTACCGCCCGGCTATGATAGTAGATACAAAAAAACGCAAGCAAAAGTCGAATTTCGGCCAAACGTTTGGAAACAATTACAAATTATCTTCTGCTGTCGGAGACAGATCAGTAAAGCCACAATACTCCAGTTTCTTCAAATCCATTGACAAACCAGAACCAACAAATTATAATTTTAAAACGTCAATTTGTGCGAAAGAAAATGAACATGATCTATCTCGAGACGGTTCTCTAATCGCAAGTGTTGATAAAGATTCGGCTTATATTGCAAATCGTAATTACAATTTTGGAAACTTAGATAGTTATAATGCAGAACAAAATAAACAGTATGCAAGCACTTCAATAAAGAAAATGTGGCCTCCTGAGTCGCCTAAACTTCGGTCTGCAGGACAGGGACCTTCAGACTCCAGGGTTGTTGATATTTCAAGCATTTTAAGTGAATATGGTTACGGGTATAACTATTTAGATGAGATATTAAATGGACGTCAATTTGCTGGTATGTTTATCAATTTCTTATAAATACCTATATCGTTTATTTTACCTTATCTGTATTTTGCTAATTTTTAATTAGCACTGCATATATAAAAATTAAAATAAGATTTTATTAAAAATTTAGGAATTTTTGTTTGATAACAAACAAATATATCTACGTTAATAATTATATATGTTTCAGGTTTAGAGACATCAGTCTTCCATTGTCCAACTACAACTAATTTAAATGAAATCTATGAATGATCACCAGTTTATGAAAATCTTATTTTATATTCTAAAATATCAATGCATTGAGTGATTTCTAAATTTTATAATAAAATTGTTTTATATTAATAAATTGCTTTTATAATAAATTAATGATTTTTATTAACAGAACCATGCTTCACCAGATTGAGTAACCGAGAATGTTATACTGTATATTAAAAAGTTATACATTATTATGCATTACACTCTTTCATAATATATAATAAAGTATATAAAAAATGTTTAAAGTGAAATAAAAACTTAAATATTCAAATAAATTTTTCAATGAATTAACCAGTAAAATATATATCACCCATATTCTTCAAATAAATCAAGTTTAAAATAAGTAAATCTTCTAGTTCACTTAACAATCCCAAGTTTGTACAAAAGTACTTTTCACTCATAATAATCTAAGAAAATCTGATCTATAAATGAATTTCAAGTGAATGTAGACGAAGCAATTGAATTGTTTACTATAAGTAACTCCAGATTAATTCTTTATTGAATCAGCTGTATACTTGTACAATCGTTTTTACAACGAAAAATTCATTCTTTGAATAATGTACTTTAAAGAACTGAGTATTTCTACCTAGGCCTTTTACAGTTTCACACAGACCCAATGCACCTGGATGTTCTACATACCTATTGATGAAATCGATTTGAAACAATCTGTCGAAATCTTGAGCAAGTTATAAAGAAGATGAAATATCTGAGCATGAATATTATAATGATGTAAAAATGCAAGTTTTTTGTATCTTTTAGAAGTGAAACGACAGCATAAATAATTAAATACTTATATCCATAATTTTAACTTAGAATGTGTGTGTATGTTTGATAAGCTTGATTTTACAGATAGTTAACAAAACAAATGTGTGTGTATAAAAAGATTTTTTATATTTTTGTTAGATACTGTTTTTTGTTATTATTAATTTTATACTATCATATTTTCGTACTTCAAATCCATATTAATTTGATTGAGAAACGTTTTTACTTAGTATCCAAAATACTAAGTGCATTTAAAAAGAATATAGATATATTATAAATTAAAAAAATTATTTGAGTCTTCGATAAATTATATTATAATAGTTAATTATAATTGTAATTACAAATTTTATGGTATATAAGTTAACTGAAGAATTTCAAAAATTTAAACACTTTGAACAATATACTTCATATAACAATACTTTATCTTTTGATGAATATAAATGTTTTAGCAAATTAAATTTTCTGTTTGAATTTCGCGCTTTAAATTTTTCAAAATTGGGGCAGCGGTCATTTTGCTAACTTCAATCATTTCAATTGTCAAAAAGATTTTTGTAAATGAACATGTTATCGCGTTAATTGAGAGTTTTTAATTACATTATTGATTAGTTTTAATTAATTGCATGCATCAAATTGTTTAATTAAATCTGTACATCAATGTGATATAAAAAATATATCGTGCAACGTTTGTAAAAAGTTAAAAAAATGGCTATGTGTGGAAGTGCTACCTTAATTGTCATAATTATCTCTTTCAGGGCCCCCATTTTGAAATAATATTATAATTAATCATGTTATTTACAGTGATAATGTATCCTTTATCTATATATATATGCAAATGGCAAATGTATATTTTATATATGAATGTGTATACTTTTGTAGGTTATGGTAGCGCATTTCTACATCATATCTATTTTAAAATATTTATTTTTGTGTAAAGACTTTACTCGGACAATTGCAATATGTCGAATAGACTTGTAAAAGACAAAGTGAAGTTATGTAGTGGTTTTAAAGTAGTGATTTTGTGTCAAGTATTTGATATTTCTGGCAGATGCTCCAGATAGTTTTGTGTTCTGCTAGCTGAAGAGGATTTCTAGCAATGTAAGTGCAGAGCATGTTTTATACAAGCGAGTCAAAGAATATATTTCTGATATTATATACAGGCATTTATCGTACTACATCTAATGTACCTATAATGAATTGAAATACTGAATTCAAAATGCAATTTTGAAAATCTTTGATGTTTAGCACAATATTGTTTGTCATCTTCAGTGAAACTATAATTTGAATAGAGATAAATAATAAGATAATACTTATAATTTATTTTCTAAAAAGGGTTTACTATTACTGACCGGATTTGTATTACATGCCACTTTTTGTATGAAAAAATTAATTGGAAGATGCTGAGAACTTGTCCCTTTCTTATCCGATATCATTTATATATAAGGTATATGAATCAAAGCAGTCTGGGCATATTTTACAGAAATATTTTATGGCTCGTGAATTATTATCATTTCACATACATATATCTGCTGCAAATCTTGTTAATAACATTTTATTAATAAGGTACATTTTATTAATTTGTTGCTTGCTTCAAAGCATGAAATACAGTTAATCTTTTGTTTATTCAACAACAACTATTATACGAATAAAAATTTAAATTAATTCGGCAGACATGTGTAAAAGACTATGTTCTTATTTAATTTATTATGGGGAAAACATTTTGATTCAATTTGAGTATCTATTTACACAAGTGTATTTTATACATGTTTTCAATCAATATAAGGGAAAAACTTGTACTTCTCCATGGCATTGAAAATAATTTTTATTATTACAATTCCATAAATAGTCAATCAAAATTTTTTTTGTTCTATAAATGACACTTGATTTTTAAGATCTTGTTTTGACTGAATTTGAATTTACTTTTCGAAGGACCATATGTAAACACTTAATTGATAACTGTATATATTTATTTTGTATTAATAACAAGTTATAAGTGTATTTACAATAGCTTTAATACTGTTTTTGATTACGTTCTGACTGATTTGTATGATTTTGGTTTTTATAATTATCTATTGATGATTTTTTGTTTAATATATCAAATATATCCGCATGCTTTGATTGGCGCGAACAACACTATTAGCTGATTTTGTGTAGAATTCAGAATTCTTGTATCTTAAATTTTTGTTACTAAATTATTAGTTAACCAATACAGCTTTTTGTATGCATTGATTACTTATTCAATAAAGGAGCCATAGCATCCCTAAAATTAATGGTATTTAAGATAAAATTCTAGTTCTGAAGAGTTTGTTTTTCAGAAAGCATTTCAACAACAAATATATTTTTTGTGCCACTCTATTTTATAAAGGAAAAGATACTTTGTTACATAAATCTTGTTTTTTATAACACCTCTTGTTCATTATTCTAAGAAAATAATTTTTAAAATTATATCTCTAGTGTCAAGAATCATGTGTTTTCCCTGTAGCGATATTAACTGCATGTACATTCTTATTAATGATAACACGATTGTTGGTTTTGATCAAAATATTTAAAATACTTGATATGACTTTTGTTGTTTGAAGAGTTGTCAATTAAATGCAGCTTTTAAAAGTCTTTTAATGTAATTTTATTTTAAATTTATTTAATTATGTTGCTGCATAGCTAAATTATAAATTTTTATTCTTTCAATGCTAAAACAATTTTGATCCAGACACGCAATCAAAGTTTCGAAGAGTTGACTTGAATGATTAGACAAAACATAATTTTCTTTACAAGTTTATTATTCGATTCAAGTTGTAAAAATTATTTAACTCAATTTCTAAAAGATAACATTCAGCTTTAAACAGTTTGAAGCTTTTAATGTTCAAGTTTTATTGAATGTCATTTATGTTTTTTTTCAATAATTTGTATGTTATTCAAGTCAACTACATTTGTTTTCGCTTCGATTAATTGTAAAGGTTTCACATGTTTTATCAAGTCATATATAAATATTTTTGATTCGATTAATATCATTTCATTTCATCGATTAATTAAATCATTTTTTCGAATAATTTTTTTTTTTTAAGTCCAAATTTTGTGAAACTTTTTTGATTAAGACAGACGAGTTAATTTTGCATGCTATATCATCCCAAAGCCAACATTTGAATGAATGAGACCCACATTGAAAATTTCATGACGAGAAAATTTTATTGGGGCATATTAAAAATTTTTTACTAAGTCCCAGTAATTTTTTCTCGTTGTGAAAATTTCACAGTGGACTTCATTTCATTCGAGTGTTGGCTTAGGGAATTGGTGTGGGGGAACACTAAAAAACATAAAAAAGTTTCAACGCTGAACCGGAAAGTGAAAAAATCGTCTGGGACTTAGGGGGATTTTTTTTTTGGTTGTCCACCTCCCCTTTCTCCCTCCTCCTCCTCCTTTTTTCCTTTTTTCGCTTTTTTTACCGTTTTTTTTTTTTTTTGTTGTTGTTCGTTTTGCATGTTGGTGTTTTTGGATAGAGTTTCGGGTTCGGCACGCACCGTCCGTAATGTGTCTCTCTCTGTGTAAACTCTCGCATTATGAACCTCAGGTTGATCATCACTTGCTGTGCTCGTTTCAGTACCCCTGCGCCTGCCATCATCCAGCCAGCAGCACTGCTCCATTTTTTCTGCTTCAGATTTGGTCTTCGTCATCTTCAACTGGATTCGATCCGCCTCACCTTCTGCCTCCAGAGTTATGTCACCAAGTATGCGGTCACCTTAACCACTCGGCTATTTGAATTATTAATTATAAACGTTATTTCT